GATCGTTATTATATTGTAATAACATAGCTACTATATCGTAACAATATCATCAAAAATTTACAGGTTTCTGTAAAGTAGGAGCTATTATTTCATAGTTTTCAAAAATAGAAATCTCTTCACGGATTTTAAACTCTTCGTAATCCATTTTTTTTAATCCTTCTTTTACGAATCATTGAAAATAACTTAATCACATGTTGAATTAAAATTTTAAATTATACTCGCTATCTTTGTATTTTTAATTAAAGCCACAACATATAATTTTTATCAATCAGAAAACGCAACAATAATAAAAATTTAACATCATTTTCACTTTAAAACCTGTGTAAATTTTAAATAATATTCACATATTTCAGTAATAACTAGTGATGTGCCATTTATATGATACCTGAAAAATTTTAGCGTACTGTACGTATAGTTCTTTTTCAGGCATATGATTGGCTGGAACAAGTGATCAGCAAAAATTTTAGCGTACAGTACGTATAGTACTGTACGCGGCACATCACTAGTAATAACTAGAAATGTTGAGTAGTCTGACTACTTTGAATTTTACAAGACAATTTATACTGGCTAGTTAGTTTGTATAATAAAATTTAATTAGTTTAACATGCTATACCCACAAACATGTAATTTAATTTTTATCAACGATAACGTAAAAATTTACTAATCAAAAATTATTAAAATTTATTTCGTTGTAATTGTTGCATCTAAAGTAGCCACCCTATCTAAAGTAGCCCTGGGCTAGAATTACGATTTAGTGCATGCATGAAGATCTAATTTCAGGGGCCTAATTTTAGTCAGGCGCTACTTTATATATCTAAAGTAGCTACTTTAGATAAATCGCTACTTTAGATACAACATAATCATATGATTCAAAAATTTACATTCAATAAAACATTAAACTTTAACAACCACCAGACTTTGGACACCGTTGACCCTTCGAATAACGTTTAATCCATTTTTTGTCGAACAAATTAAACATTCAATTTTATTCTTCATTTAATTTTGACCAATTTATTATTCGTCGATCCCTTTGTCCGTAGTACTTAATTCCGACGGTTTATATTGGCAGTCTTGCGAATTATGAGTAGTTCGATTTCTATACCATTTATAATCTTTATAATTGATGTCCTCCCAACTCCATCCGACTATAGCACCGCAATAATCTGATTCTTCAAACCAAATACGATCATTCTCAAAACAACATTTGAAAGAAATTTTCTTTATTATTTTTATGGCGACAATTCTATTCTAAAAAATTTTTAATTAAATATTTATAATAAATGTGATATTTAAAATTACAATTTCCATTTTCTTGAATGGTGCAATTCTTTTTTTTGTGGATTGTTTTAAAGTTTTTTTTTTTTTTTGGGAGAAGGCAATTATTAAATTTTGCATTTATTATATATTAATATTACTTAGAAAAAAACTTTTAAACGATAATTTGAATAGTGTCATACTTTCGAATCCGATGTCAATACTCCTGTCTCTAGTTCTTTAATCAATTATAATGTCTGTTTTTTGGTTAAAATTTATTATTAGAATACTTGCGTCATCATTATTAACTAACAAGGAACATGGCCGGAATAGTCAACGGTTACATGCTTCAGTGCTAGAGTATATCCTACCCAGACACACGCTTTCTATATTTTAATACAGAAAGGTCCTCTCTAACACAGACAGGGCCAGTACTACAGGAATATCAATAACTGATAGAGGAGAACGTTCAACCAAATGTTTGGCCCAATCTTATTGATACGAGTGATTTGTACATTTAATAATTTATAATACAGAATATAGACTTTATGTGATAAGGTGACTCGCCAGTGGCGTGATTTGGAATAACTTTATTTGAGTAATAGGTTAAAGGGATTTATCGAAGGAGTTATCTAATGATATTTTGAATTAAGTATTAGAATCCCGTAAGATACCTTCCAACCACAGCGAAACCATATGTCTTTTATAGTTTTTACTCTCTTAATGAATTCAAAGGGTTTAGGGACGAATAATGTATTACATATTTAACGAATTTAGGAAAACTAATTTCTTTAATAGGTTTTATAATAGAATTACAACATATAGTAAGTAAATGATAAGTCTTATTGTCATAGTCCCTAATGAAGCCACCTAATTATTTCTTAAATTTTATGTCTTTTCTTTTTTTCTCTTTACGTGTTTTTGTTCTTCGGATTTCAATTGGTTTGTTGATTTTATTCGGCCGATAAACCTCAACTGAAACCAGATCTTGTCTTAACTAATGCCAGTAATTTCTTCCTAATATCTGAGTTTGCTGTGCCCAATTTTGTAGTACTACTTTTAGCCCGTGACAATATAGTCATTATACTTTTTAATAAATTTTTGGTATACATTGTTGAATAATAAATTTGAAAATGTTCTTGAATTTTATTCACTCGTATCACTCTTAATTTCAGCTGACTCATAAATTTATTTGATTACTAAGATCAACTAGGAGGAAAGGTTCATCCAACTGAGAGAAAAAGGTTTATCCAGATTCATTTCATCTGAAAAATCATTCAATTTTATACGTTTAAAATTGTCTTCGATAAGCTCAGGCATTCTCCTTTTATTTTGGGATGATGCAGGAACGGGACTCACAGAAGGGTTTAATTTATAATGATTCATTAAAGGTGGATTAGGATTATAGACCGGAGATGTTAGAGAGATTTTTGAATTCCGTTTTCTCAGCATTTTATTAAAAGAGGAATATGTTTACGTTTGAAAAAATTTCTTTTACCAATTTTCTTATTATATAATTATTTATATATTTTTATTTTATTAATTTAATGAACTACATTAATTCCAATACAAAGCTTTTAAGTATAAAAACCGTTTATTATATTATTAAAACTGTTAAGGTATTAAGTCACATAACAAAATGAATTAACCTCAATTGTTCTTATGTTACACAATTGGTGCCGAATTTATTATTAAAAAAAAAAATTATTATATTTAATATATAATATATTATACAAAAAAAATAAATTCGGTATATATACTCACTCTTATTTATATTGCAATATCGAAATACAAAGAAAGCGCACGCGATCTAATACGCGACTAAGCCTCAATGCACTTTTCGAAAATTAGGTTTTGAGAAAATATAAAAAAATTTTTTTTTGAATAAACCAAGTTTTTTTTCAATAATTCAACATTTAATTGCATTGCAGAAATACATAATCATAAAGAACAAAGTGCAGCTTATACGTGTACTAAGCCTCAAAAATTCTGCGTGATAATGCATATTTGCAAAAATCAGGTCTCGAGAAAAATTTCTCTATTTTTTTGAATCATAATAAACAAGTTTTCTTACTGTTGTTAAGAAGATTATGCACGAGAATAAGTTATGTAGAAGTTGGATTTCAATAAATTTATTTAAAATTGATAGAAATACCTTTTAGACAATGTGAAATCGCATTTTCTTAAAATTAAATTGCAAAATGGATTTCTTCAATATCTTTTGCCTTACAACATTTTTATTTGTTTGTTATTTAATTAATGATTTATTCAACATTGAATTTGCTCAAGAAGTCTTCAACAAATACCTAACCGATGATGAATGTATTCATGTAATATATTATGTCGAAGAGTCAATAAATAAACTGAATATCGCAGTAAGCGAAATGAATGTTGCAGTAAATGAGCTGAATGACAATAATTTCCAAAAGCATCAATCGAATGTAGAAACCAGATTTCTCAAAACAAATGATGAGAAATGGAAAAAATTAGAATTTAAATTTAATAACATGACTCGTGAAGAAAAATTTGACGAAAGAGGTTTAATATTATATTTAGAAATTAAAAGACTTATAGAAATCTTAGAAAAAATTAAACCACATTTAGTTAATTCTTGGCTTCAATACTTTATTGATAGTATAGACACAAATAATATCAGATCAAGAATAGAACAGCTTCATTCTTTTATATATAACAAATTAATTCCTATTCAAAAATCTAGTCTTGTATTCATTCCTTAAGTTTTCAAATTTTGTATTTTATAATTTTAATTAATATGAAGATTTCCTTCTATGCGAATACTAATTTGGCGAAATGTTTGACATTTCTCAACAATGAAAATTTTGAAACTTTTGAACATTGATCTTATGTGTCAAATCACGTGACTTAGTTATTGAACTTAAATATAGAACAACCAAATATATTATGTTTGTCAATACTGAACATTTGTTTTGAGCCATTATTTGGTCAATTTTTATTTATTAGCTTTTCGAATTAATTATTCATCTTTGTAAATATTAACATTTATGTTTGAAAGAAATTTTCTTTATTATTTTTATGGCGACAATTCTATATTAAACTAATTTATATTAGTGCTAAATTAGGCTTAACTACATCGCAATAATTTATAATGTCATGTTTACAATACAATTTAAAATTTAAAATAATTGATTATAATATATATATTCTATTATATATGAGATATATTTATTTATCCAATAATAAGATAAACCGGTATTATCAATAGCGATAATCTATTTACAATAATACAAACTCAGAATATATTTGGCATTAAATTTATTTATATATATGTATTGTATATTGTACATATTATAAAATTATACTTTAATTTTATCGACTTCTTGATCATTGCTACTACATAGAGATTCGATCAGTTTGCCGATCCTAGGCCCGCATCACGCTTAACTTTGGCCGAAAACTGTTAAAATCAGTAAACTTATCGCATCTCTATTGGTGATGCGACCCGAAATCCATTGGATTCCATTTTAATATTTAATCCAATGGATTTCGGGTCACATTACTAATCTCTACTACTACAGAACAAATAGTTGTAATTTAGGCCTGCCTATCAAAAAAGTAACCGTTGTGCCATGAAATACACATGAATATCCATCTTTACATTGGAAGTAGTGATAGTTGAAACAAATATAAAAGTATTAATAATTTTTACATTTTGTGGTGCGAACGTCTCGGCTCACGGCTAACATTTACTAAGCTGAGCCGATCCTTCAACTCTATTAAAGCTAGTCATTTAAATACGCTAATCTTTAAATTGTTCTTTTTAGTCTTCTTTTGCAGCTATTTTTTTTTTTTTTTTTTTGATTATCGATTGGCTATTTTAATATGTAATTTTGGTTATGGCATAAAATAAACATAAAATCATAGAATCTAACCTATCAGTTAATTAATAATTTGGTGCAAAATCACGTGCCAGGAAACTATTAACGTAAAGAGATGTGACCGGTCATAAAATTTATCCTTATCGTTATTTATAATTTCAGGTCGATTTATGTTACAGGACAATTTAATGCCGGCTGAATAAATGGTTACTGACTTTTTACTTGCCATCCCTGCTAAAAAGCCACATGGTTTGTAAAGCTTAGCTAGACCAATTAGAGCAAAGACGTCAAACCATATCATTTGCGTTAGATCATAGTAGGGACCTATGGGAACAAAAAATAAATTGCAATTCCGACCAGAAATAACGGAATACGGCCCAAATTTTATCAACTTATTTATGTAAATTTTTATAATGGTCTGCAAGAATTTTAGTTCGCAAAGAATGACTTCTAACTTTATTTATAACTTCATAACATAACAGCTAGGAAACCTATACGATAAACTTGGTCCAAAGTAGTTTTCTGTTTCAAAAGAGATACCACTTATTTAAATTATTTAATCATATGTGCGTTTTCTCTGAAAAATATATATATATATTACCTGGTATTTAGAAAATGATCTTTGAGGAAAATATGACTAAAGATGTAATTTAAAAAATTTCTGTTTAATATTTTAAATGTGTATAGATGTATATAATTCTGAGTATACATGCCATTTAATAGAAACTTATTAGGTCGTGATTCAATTTATCCCTGACTTGTCAACAAGATTTTAAACGAGCTATGTGGCTTCATTTATTTCGGATAACTTGTTTCTGGAACATTGTATATTATTAATGTAATGTTTACTTTTATTTTTATAATGCTTAATAGCTGAATCCGTATTTTCTTGTATTTAATTTTTTGATCATCGCTTTTAGCCAATCAAAATCGAGGATCTCTTGCATAGTACATTCAATTTTAATGAAAATAAAATAAATTGAAGAGTCAAATGAAACTCAATGATTTATTATTTAATTTTCACTCACTAACTGCCAACAAAAATAAAATTTCTCATCATAAAAAATATATTCGTTACATTGTGAAGTTATAAAATGGAGAACGGAATATGGAAAAAATTGAATGTTCAATTTATTCGACAAAAAAGTGGATTAAACGTCATTCTAAGGGGCAACGGTGTCCAAAGTCTGAAAAACGTATCTGGAATAATTATTGGTGGTTGTGAAAGTTTAAGTTTTATTGAATGTAAATAACCCTAACCCTAAAGTTAATTCGATAAAATATATATTATAAGAATCTACTCCGCTTTAGACGTCCCCCAAGCCAGGTAAATTAAACTCAATACTAAAGTTTCTGAATTAAGAAAGTCGATACAAAATTAATCTGATTAAATCTATTTAATTAAAGCTATAATAAACTTTACTCCAACGACTGTTGAAACTATCGAATAGCCAATAAACAAAAATAAAACAATTTCAACTCAAGAAGTAATCGAGCTGCTGCTAAGATCGTAAAATTTTTGGCTACGGCATTAACTTACTATGCAAAAGTGTCTCAGACACTTTGCATTATAAAAAAGTTTTTATTATTGTAAAGAGCAATTCTTACTATTCTTTATGAGCTTATTTTAGCGACAATCTAAGAAATGATATAACAGATAAAGTAACCTTTATAATTTTTTTGGTTAAAATCGAATAAATCTTTATTACTATAATGACAAACTCGCATCATCAACATAGATTTTATTATCAAAAGCTTAAAATGATGTTAAATGTAAAGAAAATCAAACCGCAAAAAGTGAATATCAAGTATTATTTGCCAGTAGTGTAAAATTTAAAAAAACTAATGGCGGTACTCATAATTGCGACTAATTGCCCCACCAACCTTAAATTCAAGAAAAAGGTTCTGTTATCAGCAAAAACAGCGGATAAAATTGTGATGTTACTGTTGAAAAAAATCAATCCTAAAAATAAAACTACGCAAATAATGATAAAAGTAAAAACAATGTATTTCAATTTCTTCGAGTTTTGAGGATTATTATTGTTGTTGATAAAAATTCATCGAATTTGGTTGGGTGGTCGTCAAGATATCTTCGTTCAAAGTTTATAAAAATTTTGTTGCAGTTATTATTTTGAACGTTTTGTATGTTCCAAAACATTGAACGAAGATATCTTGATGACCACCCGACTGAATTCGATAAAAATCTTTTTATTTTAATTCTACAAATCTGTAGAATTCAAATAAAAAAATTAATCGAATTTGGTTGGGTGGTTGTCAAGATATCATCGTTCAAAATTTTGTAAAAATTTTGCCGTAGTTATTATTTTGGTAATCGTTTTGTATGCTTCCAAAACTTTGAATGAAGATATCTTAACAACTACTTAACCAAATTCGTTAAATTTTTTTTTATTTGAATTCTACATGATTGTAGAATCAAAATAAAAAATTTTTATTGAATTTGATTGGGTCATTGCTAAAATATCTTTACCCAAAGTAAAAAAAACTTAAATTCTATAGGGGGTGCATGATAAAAAATGTGGCTCAGATTTAGATGCATTGTAGATCTATATCAATTTTGAAACTTTTGCACAAGTGAGTAGTATAGAAGGTTTTCGTCGTGATTGGCCAATTTTTGGGGATTGCCCTGGCCCATGATCAACATAAGTCGACCCGGTACTATAAATAAGACCCTTTGCACCAAATTTTAGATGATCTACATCTTGCATGTTTTGTTGTTATTTCCTTTTTTCACCGATTTAATTTAAATAGTGGCAAGTATTTTTTATTATATTCTTTTATTAACAACGCTCATGATGATTTTTTTTTTCAAAATAAAAATCATGATCATAATTTGGAGGTAATAGAAATGAGACAGATCATTTTTGACCAAATTCACTATTTCCTAGTCAAAGGCATTTATCTGAGTTTTAGTATTTCTAAGGAACTGACTTTATTTTTAAGGTATATAAAAACATGTTTTTATCCTAGTCGGGGATTTCCCCCATGGAAAATACAAAAACATGCTTTTTGTATGCCTTTTGTTTTATCCTAGTTCGGGGAATTCCCCCATGGATTTAGCAAATATCTTATTGAAAATTATTTTATTCAGAAAGAGTTTTCATTAAAAAAAATAATAATAATAATATTCCAAATAACTAGTAACCAGGTCCGAATTTTTTTTTTTTTTAGGCAAAAAAAAATTAGAATTTCATCGTATTTTCAGTAAATAATAGATTTAAATCGGTATCATCGTTGCTACTATAACCATCATATTCATCTTCACAAAGTAAACTTTCAATAATTAATATATTATCTAAACTTTGTTTAAATAAGTCGCTAACTGTAATTAATTTTTCCAAAAATGTAATGAATTCATTCTCACTTGGTTTGTGGACTGGTAGGTTGATATTTACTAGTTCTTTCATGTGAAATAATGGATCAAATTTCCGTTCTATTTCGTAAACCATTAATGTGGTACCTAAAAGACAGATTAAATGAATTAATTTAAATTAAATAAAATAAATGGGGAGAATTTTTTTCTTACCATATATATGAAGGGCGAATAATTTTAGTCTTTTTAAAATGGATAAAATTAAATTTATTGCACCTTGATCCTTGCAACTGTAATATATGTAATCCCATGAATCCTTACAGAATTTTCCAATCCTTTTTCGATTTTCAAGAATGTGACTTTTTACATTAACGTTTTCAAGATTTGCAAAAGGACCACCCGAAATTTCGAGATAAAAAAATTCATATCGCAAATTTTTTATTTTTTGACTTGTAAAAAACCAAAAGTTGTCTGGACATCGTCTAGGACCATCCTGATTATTTCGATATTTTGTTGCAACACTTTCAACGCTATTCCTGAATTGCATATCGTAATATTAAATGAGTTGTGAATTAGAAATAAAATAAAAAACTTGCTTACCAAGCAGTCTGAAAAGTATACCCAGTATATCCTTGCAAGAACTCAACAAGATGAATAACAAATTGACAGCAAAATGTAGATTCAGTTATTGTACTATCTTGACTTTTATATTGACTATCATTCCAAATATCTTTCCTAATAAAAGCAAAATATTTAAACTTTATACGCTTATATAATTAAAGTATAAATAAAAATATACACACAGCTTTTTAGCAAAAATATGAAATAATTCAAATTTTATTGTTTCATGTTCACAATTGGAAAATGGAATTCTGACAATTTTATTATTTAGATGCTCTAAAAGAAAATCTTGGTACTTTAAAGATAGGCCAATCATAGTAAGCTTTGGCAAGCAAAACGAATCCCATAAACTTTCATTTTTTAGTGCTTCGTATATTGCTTTTTGTTTGTCTTGAATTTCTTCATTGAATATTATTCCTGATAAAATTAAATCATTTGGAGAAGCTTTATCTCTATCAAAGAATTTGCTAATTGTCAAAGCTTCTTTCGAATGGTTTTGAGTATATTTTAACTGGTTTACATTAGTATTTAATCAACATCAGTGATTAATTCAATTAAATTAAATAACATTTACTTGAGAAATTTGGTCCATCGTTATATTTTTTTTTATCTCAGGATCCACCACACATTTGTATTCATCAAATAAGTCTTCTTTTTCGGAATAATGTTTAATCAATTCAGAATAAATGAGAAAGTTTTTTTTTTCATAATATTCACTTAATACTTCAAACAGATCCTGATATTTTTTATCTATTTCTGGATTCGTCTATATAAAATTGTAAATGTCAATGTTGAATATTATTGGATTTATCTTTTTGGACTACTCACTTGATTAAATTGTTTATAGTATTGTTTTTTAATAGTTTCTGAAATTTTTTTATCATTAAAATCAACAACATTTTTAATGCAGCAGAAAATAAAAAATTGTATTAAATTGGGATTATTTTTAATTTTCTTAAAATTTTTTGCCAAAGCCTTTACACTTGACATGATGAAAATATTTAAGGGTAAAAAAGAAATTTCGCATAATTCAGCAAATAGTACGTACTTATTAAACTAAATAAGCACCTTAAAGGGAAACCCTGTAATTCTTGGTTTTCTAAATTTCACTTAATTGTAAGGAAAATCAACAAATTACAGGTTTTTTGCTTTGTGCCACTGCATAAAGAGATGCACCGGTCCAAATGATATTCTTCAATTAAACCATATTAATAATTGATAACTGAATTAAAAAAATAAATAAATGATTGGATGTTACTGAATTGATTTTAAAGATTTTAAAGTAAATTAGCCAACTTTATGAAATCGTAATTGTAAAAATTTTATGAATTGGAAATTTACTTGAAATTCTGATATTAGCTTAATTATGTACAGTTATACTTTACAGAAACCTGTAAATTTTTGATGATATTGTTACGATATAGTAGCTATGTTATTACAATATAATAACGATC